CCGAAACGGGTGCCATGGCCCGTGCGCCGGCCTGAGTGCACAGGGAGGTGGGGTTTAGGTTTTTCCCGAAACCCTACACCCTAAACCCCAAACTCTAAACCCTAAGCCCGAAACCCTAAAACTCAACCCTGAGCCCAAAACCCAAAGTCTTAGACTTCAGGGTTTTGGGCTTAGGGTTAGGGAAGCTAGACATAGAACTTGGCAAGACATTGATCTGATTAGCTGGGTTTAGGGTTTTGGGTTTGCCTGTTCCTTTGTCTTGGTTCGCTTCCAGCTTTCAACCCTCCAGGGCACTGCCATCTTTATTCCTCCGTTTTCTTTTCTCACTTAGGGGGGGCTAGCGGCGGGTAGGCTGCACGGGCAAAAACCTACAAAGCCCCAGCAAGTGCTGATGATGCTTCTGCTTTTGGGGCATCATAGTCTGAGCAAGGATGAAGAACCTCACCAACTGGAATGAATCTAGGTAGGCCCCTGGGATACTTAAGTTTTACCTTATTGGGTTTAAGAGGATCATATTGATGATATTCAGGAATATATTTCAGAGGGTTTTGAGGGATGTTCTAGTAATTAGGTGCCCCAAACTTGTAAGGGTCTGTATTTAATAGGTACCGAAAAGGGGTCCATTGGGGAGATCTTCCCATGTACGTCTCGGTACTTTCCGAAACCCTAAACCCTAAACCGTAAAGCCTAAACCCTGATTCTGAGGCTTGCAGCTTGCTCAGAGGTCACACTGGGGATGCTGATGCTCCCCTGGGGACAAACTGATCATCGAATTAGGGTTTAGGGTTGAGGGTTTAGGGTTTAGGGTTAAGGGTTACCCTTGGCCCTAAACGGAATAGGCATCGCTCTGCACAGCCGTACGGGCCCAAGCAAGCCTTCGCCATCGCCTCCTATGGGACAAGGTTGGCTCTGCAAACCCTACACCCCGACACGCTGACACCTAAACCCCTTGGGGCTTAGGGTTTAGGGTTTCCGGTTTAGGGTAGTTTAGGTTTAGGATACCTTAACAGACTGCACCATTCAGGGCACACGTATGCGAAACCAACTGTAGGCTTGTGCGGGACTTGAGGGTTCTGTCGTTCCTTGGGGGCCCAGGGCTTTGTAGGGCTTCGGGTCTGTCGTTGGAAGTTTAGGGGCCCCGAAGAGCCAAACCTTGAGCCCTGAACCATATCAACCCCAAGCCCTGGAATCCCGAAGACCTGTGAACCCTAAACCCTAAACCCTAAACCCTAAACCCACCTCGAAGCCCTAAGCCCTGGCCCTCTGAACCCTATTAAAACCGATGAGCCCTCGAAACCCTTCAGACCCGAAGCCCAATGTACCCTAAACCTAACTTGCACTCCGAAACCCTACAAACTAGCTGCTTGTACTTGGAGGTTCATGGTACTTAGTAAACCAATTGCAACTGTACTTATAACCCAATCATAGCCCTGCTAGGGTACTTAAGGGGCTTATATGGGAATCAGACGAGAGTATAGACTTTCAGTCTTGCGAGTCGTTGGTTGTTCTGGGGTGTGGGGCTTGAGGGTTCTCATTTCAGTGTTTCAAGGCATCAGGGTTGTTTCTTGGCTTTCTCCTGGCTGTGTCTCAGGACTTTAACCCTTTGGGTTTTTGTAGAAACTACAATAAGGATCCTAAACGTGAGACGTTTAGGAGGGCTTCAGAAGTCAGCCAAGGTTTCTTCGGACATCTAACTACCCCAAACCCTAGAACATCCGAAAGCATCCTAAAACCCTGAGCCCTTACAACCCTAAACCCTAGAACCCTAAACCCTAAAACCCTAAACCCTACACCCTAGTGTGGAATGGGCAGCAGGATGCCCGGAATGGGGGAAGCTGGGTGTTGAGGCTTCAAGCGGGGCCTCACCCTAAGGATCCTTGCGCAGAGGATTTTAGGTTGGGCTCGCAGCTCCGATTTGTAGGGGTTTTGGGTTTTGGGTTTTGGGATGCCCCCTCCCGCCCACCTGCGTGTAGGTGGGCAATCTCCGCAGCCACTCCATAATGGAGGCCCGCGTTGATAGCCATGCTGCTGCGTTCGCGGAATTGTTAAGGGAGCTCCCCCAAGCTCCAAACCCCAAACCTTAATCCCCAAACTCCAAACCCCAGACCCTAAACTCCAAACCCTAAACGTACATGTAGTGTTTAAGGTTTAGGGCTTAGGGTTTAATTAGGGTTTGTAGTGTTCACGGGTGGGGGGTTAGTGTGTAAGGTTGGGGGTTTAGGGTTTCGGGTTTAGGGTTCCGGGTTTAGGGTTTAGGGCTTGGTGACTGGTATGCCCTGAACCCAAGCCCTAGGCTCTCAGGCGGTTTAGGGCTTCAGGGCCTCGTAGGGCTGAGGTCTTTGAGAGCTTAGGCTGCGAATCCGTGCGTAAACCCCGCACCCCCGAAACTCCTGAACCCTAAGCCTGTTAGTGCCAGCAAAGCCCTGCAAGAACCCTATCACATGCCCTAAACATGTAGACATATAGATGAAAAAAAGACTCTCTCTATATGTACATATATATATATATATTTATATTTATATACTGATGCATCTATGTGTTCATAGCCATCTTCAGAGTGGTTATCCTTATGCGACTACAGAAACTGTATGTCAAATAGTGAACACACACACACACATATGACGAAGTATACACATTATACATATATATATATATATATTCCTACGTACATGTATGGGCTGGAGTTTCCACGCCAGGCCGTTGCGACCACCATCGCGCAGGAGAGGTTGCAGGCTCGATGCTAAGACCCTGCGTCCCACCGAGGTTTGCTTTCCTACCTTGGAGTTCAAGGTTGGGGTTTCAGGCTTTAGGGTTTTGGGTTCAGGGTTTAGGGTTTAGGGTTTAGTGTTAGGGTTTAGGGTTCACAAGGAACATTTCCCAACAGTTGAGGTACGTTGCCCCTGTTTTTTAGAGGGCAGTGATATAGGTTGCTCCAGGAAAGTACTTCCGCAAGGAAGGTCAGCATTGATATACCAAGTGATATCCTCACTTGGGGTCAGCTTAGCCTTTGAACCCTAAAAGCCCCTTAGCTCTGCAAACATGGCTGTCTCGGGCTCGAAGGATTGTGCCTTGGGGGGTTTAGGGCTTTAGTATAGGCTCAGGGAGAGGCAGGGTGCACATGGAAGGTTTAGGAGTAGCAGTTCTACCGCGAACTTGAAGGTTTAGGGTCATAGGGCTTATAGGGGCTTTTAAGGGCTTACAAGGGCTTATAAGGGCTTACGGGCTCTTAGTTTAGGGATCTTGGGCCCAAAGGCCTTCAAGAAAAAAGGTCTCTGGGCTATTTTGAGACTAAGGGCTCCGCTTTTTGTTGCCCTAAACTCTACCTAGAGAGAGAGAGAGAGAGAGAGAGAGACATTTTTGTTCTCTTTCATGTCTAGGCACATCCAGTTGAGGCAAGCCCTTTTTCCAGGGTAGGTTGGCTCCTCTAGGCAAATGGCTATACCCGTTTGGCCCCAAACCTGCAGCAACGGTAGGCTGCGAAGCTTGCCCGCGAGCAGTTTAAAGCCTTTGAGCTTTCCTTGAACGCGATCTTTGCCGCCCGGAACGCAATCTCTAAACTTACTGTTGGTTAGCGGGGAATCCCCCTATATATACCCTTTAAGGGATTATATAGGGTACCTCATTCCCCCATGCCCTGCTAACCAACAGTAAGTAAACTGTAAACTGGCTTCGGAGCTGTTTATCTTTTGAACGTGAGTGTTCGGGCCAGGATTCTGGGTTTACTTGGTCATTGTTGGGTACCATTTTACATTTTTAAGGGTACTTAAACCCAATAAGGAATGAACATTTAAACTCTTAATGTTATCCCAACCATGAACTAGTTTAAGCATATGGGATTTTTCAGTGCTAAGGGATTAACCCTGGTGACCGAGCAGCGCGCCAAGGCAATATCTGTGTTTCTCTCTGATGTAGGAACCCTGATTTCCCGAAACCACAGAGTAAACTCCAGAAAGTTGGAACATGGTTTCAGGATGATTAAAGCTGGCATTCCCTTTGGTGTACCTGTTTGGGCATGGGGATAAGGATGTTCCAACTTTTTGGAGTGTGCTGTAAGGGCCAAGGAAGTAAGTTGAGGGCCATCTTTTTTGTGGCACCCTTGGGATCCCTTAAGGCGTATGGCCCATGCAGACGATATGCTGAAGGCAAAGAAAGTATAGGGAAAGCTATATCTTATACGCATCTAGGTAGTGGTCTCACATAAAGATGTATACTTGGTGGATTATGGGTAATTAAAGGTAGGGTTACAGGTTGTACCCTGGCATATAAGTACCCTTGAAGCTTCAAGTAGGGCTTCGGATCCCACATTGTTAGGGTCACTGGGCACCAGGGACTTTGGATCTTTCTACAGCAGCTGCTTTGGGATTTACCCTAGAAACCGAAGTCTTCAAGCTAAGTTTACTCAACCCATATACCCTGTGCCGAAGAGCAAAAAAACCACTCATAGTCATAACCCACCTCCCACCCCCAACCCACCCCCCCACCCTAAACCCTAAACCCTAACCCCTAACCCTTAACCCTAAACCCTAAACCCCAATGTGTGTGTAGGTGTCCAGTAGGGCATACTGAACCAGGTTACTCGTCTGAATAAAGCAGGAGCCCTAAAGCAGTTCCAAGTTTATCGCCTTGTAATCCTGTACAGTCGTAATGTGATGTAGCGGTTTCGAGTTTAGGGTTTGATAGGGTTTAGGGCAAATGACCCAACATACCCATTGTGCAAGTTAAATTGATTCTGGACAAGTTAACTACTTCTTAGTTATTTGCAACGCCGGCATGCCATGCAACAACATGCATGCAGACTGTCATTCGTTCATTGAACTTACAAGCCGTTCTCGTGCGCAACAGACTTCAGTAACCAAGCCTCTAAGCCCTTTTCAAAGCTGACCGAAGCCTCGCTTCATCATCTTGCCAAGGATCGACTGCACAAAGTTGTGCAGAACTCCGATGTTGATATCCCGGATCAGGACTTCAACGGCCAGGACAAAGTCAAAGATGTACATTCCATGAACGAGATCCGCCACACGCAGCAGCCAACTCTTCCAGATGCAAGTGACCCTGTGCCAGTGAACCCCTTCGGCTCAGATGTTGTTGCGGCCAGAGGTCTCTGCAGCTATGACCACCTGCGCAAATGGAAGCGTGTTGTGTTTTTGTTCTTGACTTGGGTGTTGTTTGTGTATGTCCACCTGAAGTTGAACAACTTATAGGGTTCAGCGCCTTTAAGGATTTAGCCTTCAAGGTTTTAGGTTGGTTTTTAGGTTTAAAGTTTCAAGTTTCAGGGGTGTTTGTGTTCTCTTGAGCTTGGATACAAAAACCCTAAACCCTAAACCCTAAACCCTAAACCCTAAACCCTAAACCCTAAACCCTAAACCCTAAACCCTAAACCCTAAACCCTAAACCCTATTTAAAGGACAGCCAGGGATTCTGGCAGCCCTCAGTGTCGTGCAACACTTCTGCGTCCGAGTTGCCAAGCCACCTGGAGTTTCAAGTCGCTCGGACACGCAGCGCTGTCCATGTTCCACTGTTTCTTTTCTTGTGGCTCCTTGCCTTGGCCGCAACCCCACAAGGAGGGCCCCCTAGCTGTAGTAACTGTAGTTAAGGGACTTATAACCTAATTTAGAATCATTATAACCCAGTTTCGGGCTCTTAGAACTCTACTTATAACTCGGGGGCCCCACCTTGCAAACCAGACCAGACGCTAATCCCTCACCCTTGCCATCCCAAGGTGCTTGGGTTAACCTTACGTAATCTAAATGCCTAAGCCCCAAAACCCGAAACTCTAAGACCCAAAACCCCAAATACCCCAAACCCGACACCAGGCCCTACACCCCTACGCCCGAAATCCCATAACCCTAAACCCTAAACCCTAAACCCTAAACCCTAAACCCAGGTCGCCACACATGGCTCAGACAGGAAACCAGGTTCCCCCGCGTCGCCCACAGCACCCCCGGCGTCGCCTTCCCACGCCATTTCTTCGCCACAGACGCTCGTTCTCCGGGCTTAGGGGCTTACTTACTGATTCTTAGAAGGGAAGGAGCCTAGAGAATCCCTTCAAGGGTATACAGTATACATATGTATGTATATATATATATATCTATATTTATATTTATTGATTTATTTATCTATTTCTAGTACATGAAAAGGGGGTGTAATGTGCCTAACGCACTCATTCCAGAAAACGAACCAGTGATTTTTGTGTTTTCGGGTTCACAGTCGAAGTCCAGCCAAAACAAATGGCTTTGGTTGTTCGGGGATTTGTTGTTCGTGCTCAGAAGTTAATCCAATCCCCCTAATATTAAACAGCGGGACCCCCCCCCCCCCCCCCTAATAGAAACTCTCGACATGTGTTTTGATCATTAGGGGAAATCCAAATGTCAGGTTTGGGGTCTAAAGTGTTTAGGGTCTAGGCACAGAGAGAGACAGACAGAGAGGGAGGGAAGAGAGCTTGAGGATGTAGGTTGGTTTGAGGGTTTTGGGAGACCTCAACCCAAGTTTTAAATCGTGGCGGTGGTTTCGGGAGGATTTTCCGGAAAGTGTTTTGATTTTCGGGGGGGGGGGGGGGGGGGGGTTGAAAATCAAAGGGGGAAGTGATTAGGTCTCAGGCACAAGTTTAGGGGTAAGGGTTTAGGGCTCAGAATTCAGAATGACTGAGGATGATCCAGACGCCCACCATCGAGCATTTTCTTTCCAAGAATGATGTGGACAAACAAAAGTCATCATCATGTGTTTGGTCTGGTGCGACACGGCTGCAGCCAATACACTACTATTTGCTTAGTAACTACCCAACAAATTAGCATATCCGATCTTCTTAGGCCAATATAGGGATTTGTTGTTCTCATGTTTCTGGGCGGGGGTTCTTAAACCCTAAACCCTAAACCCCAAACCCTAAACCCTAACCCCTAAACCTTCAAAGCAAATAGTAGTTACATGAGCACATCGCTGCCCCGCTCATTCTTGACATGCTCACTTGACTTGACTTTGCACCCTTACGCTCAACCGGATGTTTAACCAAAACCTGACGTCGTACTATTCTTACTACCACGAGTCTTGCTGCTGCTGTTCTTACTACCACTATTCTTACGACTACTTTGCTTAGTAGTCGTAGTCGTCGTCGTCGTCGTCGTCGTCGTCGTAGTAGTAGTAGTAGTAGTAGTAGTCGTGGTGGTGGTGGTGGTAGTGGTAGTGGTAGTAGTAGTAGTAGTAGTAGTACTACTACTACTACTACTACTACTACTACTACTACTACTACTACTACTACTACGACTACTACTACTGCTGGCTTGTAGGGTTTAGCGTTTCGGTGTTAGGTTCTAGGGTTGATGAAATGTGGTTCTACAATTACAGGTGCCTATTCTTACGCTACTGAACCCCGGCTACCAACACTTTTTTAGACTCTTGAACCGCCGGTCTTGCCACTAACAGTCAGGTGGGCTACATTGAGCCTGCGGATTGGGATGTGAGGGTGAAGGTCTAGACATCTTTGCAGTAGTTAAAAGTCTAAAAGTGGGTTTCAGGGGGTCTGAGAATTGCAGAGGTGAGCTGGTCGCCAAGCTCAGGTCTCCGTCTTTTTGTGTTTTGGGGTTGTATAGGCTCAGGTTTAGGGGGTTTAGGGGGTTTAGGGGGTTTAGGGGGGTTTACGGGGTTTAGGAGGTTTAGGGGGGGTTTTAGGGGGGTTTAGGGGGGTGTAGGGGGGTGTAGGGGGGTTTAGGGTTTAGGCCCAGGGTTTAGTTCAGGGCTTTAGACAAGCAATCCACAGTAGTGGAAGGGTTCCGTACTCGTGTGTGTCTTGGGGCCGTTACATGGTCCCTTAATATATGGCCCTTGTCTTTAGAAGGGTTTTGAAGTATGGGCGGATCGCCGACGGGAGGGACATCGCACCGCACCCCCCGCGCCCATGGCAGCTGAGCAAAAAAGGGGTCAGTAGAATGCTAGGACCCATAGTTCGGCGCTTAGGGATGTTTCGAGTTTAAAGTTCAGGGATGTCTCGGGCTTAGGGTTTAAAATCCAGGGTTACCCATCGCAAAGGTAATCATAGCCGTAGAAGAGATGAAGATCAGAAAAGGTTCAGGCAGCTCCTGGGGCAGTTTTAAAGGGGCTGAAAGGTATCTATCATGGTATCTGGGGTTTAGGGTTTAGGGTTTAGGGTTTAGGGTTTATTGTCCTGCACTACCCCTCTGGCATGTAGGATGCGAGGGGACCGTGGCTCAGGTGAAGTATTACATCGACTACATGGCCGGCTTCCTCGTCTTCCTCAACACGATTACTATGCTTGTCGAGCTGCAGGCCTCCCTTCAGCTTAGGGTGTAGGGTTTCGGGTTTAGGGGTTTAGGGTTTAGGGTTTAGGGTTTAGGGTTTAGGTACCCTTTTTCCCACCTTTTTTTGGGGGTTATAGTTTCCCTTATAAAGTAAGCAACAACAGAAAGGGTACCTTTTTCCCATGTTTTTGGTTTTTAGTTTCCCTTATAAAGTAACCAACAACAGAAAGGGTACCTTTTTTCCCACTTTTTTTTGTGGTTTTTAGTTTCCCTTAGAAAGTCACCAACACTTACTATACTGGGGCTACCAAGTCAGCAGGAGTTACGGCTTCAGGGATTTTGGATCTAGGGTTTAGGGTTTAGGGTGTAGGGTTTAGGGTTTAGGGTTGTAGAGCTTAGGGGATTGGGGTTCACGGTTTAGGGTTTAGGGTTTTTGCTTGGGGCTCTCCAGGGCGTCGAGGGTGCAGGGGTTTAGGGTTTATAGTTTTTGGGTTTTTGTGCTCAGGCCCACCATGGAGGGTTTAGGTTTGGGGTTTACAGCAACCCTGGATCCTAAACCCTGGACCCTAAACCCATGTTAAGAGGCCATAGTTGTCCACATGCCCGCAAGCGCTCCAGGGCCAAAACCCTAAACCCTAAGCCCTAAAACCTAAACCCCTCCCGATGTTGTAAATCTTGTGCGAACATGGAATTGCTCAGGTTCAAGAGATTGTTTGTAGCTTACCTAGGATCCTACAAGGGGCTTCATAGTAATAGCCCACCAAAGTAGTTTTGGGGTTCTTAAGGGAAACCCTGCAGCCGATTTCCCTGCACTTACTGTTGGAAAGTAGGTAATGAGGGAATGAGGTACTGTACCCTATATCCCCTTACATCTACACTTTAAGAGATTATAATATAGGTTAGTTACCTCATTCCCCCATTCCCTACTAACCAACATGTCAACGCAGGTTGAAGGGAACAAGCTTGGCGAAAGACTGGGATTGGGTGACGCGGTTTTGCCCGACAGCCTGAACGACACGCTGCCCACGATGAGGGTCCTGCACATGACCTTTATGCTGCACGGCCTCAGGGCGTTTAGGGTTTACAGGGTTTAGGGTTTAGGGTTAGGGCTTAGGGCTTAGGGCTTAGGGCTTAGGGCTTAGGGCTTAGGGCTTAGGGCTTAGGGCTTAGGGCTTAGGGCTTAGGGTTTAGGGTTTAGGGTTTAGGTGTTCCATGCCCCCAGAAGACACAGGAAGTCTTGTCAGCCCGAAGCCGCTCCACTAGGAGGCCCCTTGGCACCCCAACCCTAAACCCTAAATCCTAAACTCCTAAACCTTAAACCCTAAACCTTACACCCTAAACCCTAAACCCTAAACCTAACCCTGAGGTTCATGTTCGTACTGGAGTGGATCCTGCGGATCGTCGTCGAGCGCCACGGCTCCCATCCAGAGCTTTACGTGGTTGCGGGGAGGGCGGAGGAAAGTGGAAGTCCGTTTCGTTGCTCGCGGTCGGCGGGGGCGATTGTGCATCATGGGCACCTGTGTGGTACTTGGAGGTTCTGGGTACTTACAACACAATTCTAAGCTTAGTAGCAGTGAGCACACTTTACACTTTTTGGGATACCATAATCCCCTATAGAACTGAACGTGTACACTTTTTTGGGGGCTTATGAATTCAGCAACTAAGTAAGTGCAGTTATCTCCCACTTATAAGCCCCTTAGTACCCTAATGGCCCTAATAGGGCTTCTAATTGGGTTATAAGTACCGTTAGAAGTAGGTGACTAAGTACCATAAACCTCCAAGTAGGCCCTAAACCCTGAACCCTAAACCCTGAACCCTGAACCCTAAACCCTAAACCCTAAACCCTAAACCTTCTTTTTATTGCGTGGTGGGTGAACCTGGGCTACTGAGAGGGAGGAGGCGCTCTGAGCGATCCCTGCATCTCAGGGGGGCCTCCGTAGACGGTGCATGGACTACTATTTGCTTAAGAACCCTCAAGAAATCACAAAAAAAGATAGTCCCTACATTGCCCTTAGAAGGAAGATTGTTTTTGGTTTTTATTTTTATTTTTATTTTCATTTTTTTTTTTTTTTGGGGGGGGGGGGTTCTTAAGCAGATGGGAGTCGAAGCAGGGGGTGGAGAGTTTACACATGGGGCTCCATCTCGCGAAGCTCCTGAGGATGTCCTGCGCGTTGTTCGTGCGACGTTTTGGGCTTATGGGGTTTCGGCTTTAAGTTTAAGGGCTTGGGGTTTAGGGTTTAGGGTTTAGGGTTTAGGGTTTAGGGTTCAGCCAAGTACGAGAGAGAGAGAGAGATAGGGCAGGATGGGCCTGTTGTGTATGTGCCGTTGACAAACGGCTGGCTGTGATGGTTGTCCATTCCTCCTAAACCCTAAACCCTAAACCCTAAACCCCAAACCCTAAACCCCTAAAACAACTCCGGAATCAGGACATCGCGCGCCAGTTTCTGCTTTCCGTCCCGGCATGAGATGACCTGTTTGTTTAGGGCTTTTCAAGTTGGACCCTACATCCTAAACACTGAATCTAAAACCCTATAAATCCTACTTCATGAACCCATCAAGCCCTAAATCCTAAACCCCAAATCACGAGACCTAAATCCAAAAACCCTGAACCCTAAATCCTGACGATTTGGACACGCCCACCCGCGACTGACTTCGAGGAGACGAGCCTTTGTGAAAGATTATGCCAACTGGTTCGACACAGTCATGGTGATGCTCCTTAGCTGTTTGGAATATGGGGTCTGACCGTGGTAAGGGACCCTAACCTGCATAGTCCCCACCCTAAACCCTAAACCCTAAACTCTAAACCCTAAACCACCCTTCTCTCCAAATTCAGTCACCAAGGCTCAGTATTGTAGATGTCTACCTGACGTTCGCATCTGTGCAGAACGATGGCGCTGCGCAGGGTGTGCCTTCGACGCACCTCTTAACCTCCGGGCGGAACCCTAAACCCTAAACCCTAAACCCTAAACCCTAAACCCTAAACCCTAAATCCTAACAGCGCTTTTAGATTTTTGTTGTTGCGAAGCCAGGTGATCATCTTACGGCTGATGAGGGCCTTGAAGTCTCTGAGGGCCATCCGGATCGTCCGAAGCCTGCGACTCTTTCGTGGACTGCGGGTGCTCGTGAGAGCTTGCACCTGCTTCTTACCATCCCTGTGCTGGTCCATGGTACTGCTGGGGATCTTCATGTCTCTTGGGCTGCAACTGAATGCCTGTGGTATAGAGCAGAACCTGTGTACGCATATATGTGCATGTTGATGTGCATGTCTGTGTCTATGTGTATATTTTGCTGTCTGCCGACCTAGTCTATCTATGTATCTATCTATCTGCACAGGTCCACCCTTTCAATAGCCGCACGATTGTTTCCGGTTTAGCATCCCAAGCAGAGTAAGAAGGCAGCTTAGGTATAAGTTCAGCGTTTTGGCTTGGTCTGGGGGTTGTGTCTACAGTCGGCAGGAGAAAGACAGTAGAAAGAACGGCCTAGAGCCCCAATGCAAAGGCCATGATTCGGTGTAACTTCGAGGTAAGTATGAGGCTCCGTTTGTGGGGCGCTTAAAAGGTTGCTACGAGTTTCCGGCTCAAGAACCCTCAGAATCCCACTAGAAATCCTATATTAAAAGCTGTGCTAGACCTGCCCCAGGTGTCTGGGCGCGTTGATGATGGGAAACCTACTGCAGAGCTTCTTGGTAGCCCTGCGGTGCCCTTAACTTGTTTTGGTTATGGGTTCCCTTATAAGTAAGCAGACCCCAAAAGGGTTTAGGGTTTAGGGTTTAGGGTTAAGGTGTTTTTGGTTTAGGGGGGCTACCAAGGCTTCATCGAGGACGAATCGCAAGCCTTGGAGGACCGAGAGTGGATTTGGGACCGCTACGGCACCTCGGGATCTGAAGGAAGGCTCAGAGGGTTTAGGGTTTAGGGTTTTAGGGTTTTAGGGTTTCAGGGTTTTAGGGTTTTAGGGTTTTAGGGTTTTCGGGTTTTAGGGTTTAGGGTTTTAGGGTTTTAGGGTTTTAAGTTTTTAGGGTTTTAGGGTTTTAGGGTTTTAGGGTTATAGGGTTTTAGGGTTTTAGGGTTTTAGGGTTTTAGGGTTTTAGGGTTTTAGGGTTTTAGGGTATTAGGGTTTTAGGGTTTTAGGGTTTTAGGGTTTTAGGGTTTAGGGATCCATATCATCCAGATATCCCCCCCCCCCCCCCCCCACCCACATTTCGCCGGGGGGGGGGGGGGGGGGGGGGGGGAGGGGCTGCCGAACCGAGAGCCGGGCTCATACACAAATAATAATATAATAATAATAATAATAATTAATTATCATTATTATTATTTTGATTATGATTATGATTATTATTATATATATATAACATAGTAGAATATAATAATATACATATATATATACATATATATATATATATATGCATGTATATACATATAGGGTTTAGGGCTTAGGGCTTAGGGCTTAGGGCTTAATTAGGGCTTAGGGCTTAGGGTATATGGCTTGGGGCTTAGGGCTTAGGGCTAGGGCTTAGGGCGTAGGGCTTAGGGCTTAGGGCTTAGGGCTTAATTAGGGCTTAGGGCTTAGGGTTTGGGGTTATATACGTATATAAATACAAAGAAATATATATATATATATATATACATATATAAAGGGGGAGTATTGTTTTTCCCTTATGATCCCAACTGTGGGTTTCATTTTGTCGCCCCAAGGCACGGCCTACCGCTCCTGGTATACTCTTTTCGAGATCACTTTCGTGTCCTGGCGGATACGATTACCCTATTTTGGTACATGGACCCTTATAGGGTTAGAGAGTTGAGGGTGTAGGTTTCGGGTTCAGGATTGTCAGAGTTCCGGGTGTTCGGGTTTAGGTACATGTGTCCGGATAGTCGGGTAGAACCTTCCCACCTATATGCCTATAGTCCCGAAAGAGCAAGCAGTTACACTATTTGTAGATCATGTTCATGTAAGGTTTCCAGCCAAAGACATTTCCGGGACTTTTTTCGAGACAGCATGACAATAAGCCTAAACCCTAAAGCCTAAACCCTAAACCCTTGACAAGCTACTGCCCGGGAAGTTCGAGGGGTCTCACGTCGTCCTGCGTGCCCGCATGCAGCTGAAGCCGTACACTCACTCTGGGTGTTTACGAAAATAAGCGAATCTCAATGTAGTCCCCAAATAGTAGGGTTCCCTTATAATCAAGACCTCAATAAGGTACCCCTAAATTTCCCGAACCCCCATTTATTCATCAAATGGTTTCATGCTTGGAGTGTTTGGCGTAGGGAGCAGCACATGTGCGTGCAGCACGTGACGCCAATCCTTGCCATCCCTTCGTGGAAGACCCTGGAAATCGTGCCGGAAGAAGCACCTTGCCACTGCTGAGGCGGGCAACTGGCCTACCAACGTCCGTCCCGTGCTGGAGCGGGTCAATCACGCCTTCGTGTGTCCTGGAGTGAAAAAGAATCTTTTCCCAGCGTAGGCTACCCATAGCAAAAATGAAGAAATGGACCTCACTTGTTGGTCTTGTTGGTGTATTGCTGTACTTCCTGTCAAGTGCATAAAGCTGTGATTGCTCAGAAGTGCCACTGCTTGAGCAACAGCGGAGTAAGACTTGTATGGGTACTTGTCTAGAAGGAGGGTCCCGTCCATAGTACTTCCAGACGCACGGGCAGAGGGGGGTTACTACGCACAAAGGCTGCATGTCATCCTATCTCCCGACATAGATGACATGGTTTCCTTGTTCGCCATGTAGCAAAGCAAAGATACACCCTAAACCTCTCACTAAGCTCATTATGGGCCGCATTGAAACGAGGATCCAGAAGAGGGACTCGACATGTAACCCCTGTAGGCCCCAAACCCCAAAAGCCCCTCTTCGCAGCTCTTGCGCAGTTAGGGTTTAGGGTTTAGGGTTTAGGGTTTAGGGTTTAGGGCTTAGGGTTTAGGGTTTAGGGTTTAGGGTGGTTTGAACCTTTCCGCTTCCCTGGCTCTTGTTGGTTTTTAGTTGCCATGCCGTTCCTGTCATGTGCATTTTTGGGTGCAGTTTAGGGAAGGAACGCCCCAGACCCTAAACCCTGAACCGCCCCGCATCCATGGGCGAATGCCTCAGCTCTAAGTTGCCTTCAGCCTCGCCATTAGATAAATCCCGGAAGCTCAAAATACGATGGTCTTTTGAAAAAAAAAGAACCCCCCCTCTGGAGCCGAATGGTATTGATGAGTCGCAGTTATGACCCCCCCCGAAAGAGTCCACGTAGGTCTGGCTTAGGGTTTAGGGTTTAGGAGTTTGGGGTTTTGGGGGTTTAGGGTTTGAGGGTTTTAGGGTTTTAGGGGTTTAACCAAGAGATTTTGGGTCATCAGTACTGTTGTACTTGGGGAAGAAAAGCGCCCAATAACCCTAAGTCCTTATCCGATCGACCTCTAGAGCCTAAACCCTAAACCCTAAACCCTAAACCCTAAACCCTAAACCCTAAACCCTAAACCCTAAACCCTAAACCCTAAATCAGCCTGGGGAGGCTGTTTTTTGCGGTGTATATCACCGTGGTGGTCTTCGCGGTGATCCGGGCGCGGGGTCAGGGATGAGTGGAGAGTTTCGGATGTAGGGCTATAGGGATTAGGGTTAGGTTCTAAGGACTCTTTTTTTGGGGATTTTGGGCCCCTTAAAGAGTTTAGAGGGTTTTCGGGCTTGGGGGGGTTCAGGGCTTAGGGTTCAGGGCTTAGATGTGTAGGGTGTAGGGTTGCTTGCTTCTGGGATTGGGGCTTACTGAGAATGACCCTTTCAAGAAGGGGACCTTACGTGTTGGCATAAGAGCTGTTTACTTAATTTTTATTTGCATTTAGGTCATGATTGTTTATTCTTGTTAATATTATTGTTTTCTTTTTTTGTTCCGGGGGGCGGGGGACGGGGGTTGGGGGCAAAACCCTAACGGTAAACCCTAAACCCTTGGTGTAGGCTTAGTAGGGTTTATGTTTCTGCTTCCTGGGCTATGTTTGGGCCTCTCCGGGTTAAGGTAGGGATGAGGGCGTGGTATTGGGATTCAGGGAAGTTGGTTTAAGGAGGCTTGTTGAGAGTAGGGTATAGGGATTTAGGTTTCGGGTTTAGGGTCTTCTGCAGGTTTTAGGGGTGTTGGCGACTTAGCACTGAGGTGTAGTTGGCTTGCACATTTTTCTGTTTCATGGCCGTGGGGCATCCTCCATCCCTGTTTAGGGTTTAGGGTTTAGGGTTTAGGGTTTAGGGTTTAGGGTTTAGGGTCTAGGGTTTAGGGTTTAGGGTTTGCTGTGATAGGGCGTAGATGCTGTGAAGGTTAGGATGCAGCAGCGGCTCGAATGCCTCGGCAAATGCGCAGAGCAGCTCCTGGCCCGATATTGGAGGGCCATCAAAAACTTTTCTCCCACCCCACGCCGTCCGAGGCGGCAAAACCACCCAAACCTATTCCTTTTAGGGTTTAGGCCTAAACTCATGACAATCGCTTACTTTCAAAAACAACATTCCCCAAGAATAAGGTTTGCAGCCACAGGCAGTGGGGGGCCTGAGCTGAGAGGGGCCGAAAGGTCAAAGAGGACCAGGCCAGGGATGGGTCAGGGGGGGCAAGGGGTCAGGGGGGGCAGAAAGGCCAGAGGGGGGGTCAGGGGAAGGCCAGGGAGGGGGGGTCAGGGGGGGGGGCCCGGGGGGGCCCAGGGGCAGGGGGCCCAGGGGGGCACAGGGCCAGAGGTCAGGGGGCAGGGCTGGGAGGGCGGTTTGGGGGGAAAGGGGGCCAGGGGGGGCCAGGGGGGGGGCCAGGGGCCAGGGGGGGCCAGGGGGGGCCAGGCGGGGGCCAGGGGGGGTTAGGGGGGTCAGGGGTGGCCGGGACACCAAAAATCAGCTTTTTGACTGGCCCCAGGGCGAAGGGCTTGGGGTTTAGGGTATTTACTTTATTAAGGGGACCAGTACTGGTGCTCCGGTACCGGGCCCATCGTGGGTGCTACCGACCTCCTGGCGGGGAAGCGACCTGGGTCGACTTTCGCCATAGAGGTCGAAGGGCTTAAGCGCCGCCCCCCCTCTGTAGGGGGGCGGCCTAGGCCCTGAGTTTAGGTGTGCTCTACACCCCCATGCCAACCGGCTTCCTTCAGCGCACTAAAGTGGTGCTTGTGGCTAGCTTGCCGTGTAATTGCACGAGGGCTATGATGTCAAGCCGTCCACAGGAGCATCTTTGGGCAAGGGTTTAGGGTTTAGGGTTTAGGGTTTAGGGTTTAGGGTTTAGGGTTTAGGGTTTAGGGTTTAGGGTTTAGGGGTCTACTACATAGAGCCCAAAACGGCACGAATCAATCACCCTCACGTACCGGAGTTCGTCGTCGGGGGTTCTTTTTCAATCGCCCAACTTGTATGGCCGGCATTTTGCCATAAGTTTGCTTTGCCATAGAAGCTTTGGGTTCAGGTTGAACATCTGCTGCATTGTCGTCGCTGCTATGTTTTAGTGTGTCATCGAGTCAGCCAGGATGTTCGTTTGTGGTGGCTCAGCGACGATGTTCGTTTGTGGTGGCTCCGCATTCTCAAAGCATTGCCAGGACCTCCCACCCTACAGCCCAGAAGCCCTGCCTCTCTTGAGCTTGGTAGCCAAGTGGTACCCTTTACCTTTTTTTTATAATGGTTTCCCTGTTTAACATACCCAACCCAAAAAAGGGGTGCCCCTATCATAATGTGGTTACTGGGCTACCAAGCGAGCCTTTCTTCCAATAAAAGCACCGAGCTCAAGGGCCCTTACGGCGGCGCCCAGCACCTGGCCCTCAACTCCAATGCCCAAACCCCGAATCAGAAGCCTGTCCTTAAAGCCTAGCGCTGACAGCCCTCAAGGGCCACTACTGCTTCAACTTATAGGGTTTAGGGTTTAGGGTTTAGGGCTTATGGTTTAGGGAACTGCGCGTCAAGTTCTCATCGTTGTTTCGTCGCGAGGTCATTGGTGCTATCTTCCTCAAGGAAACGCTCGACGCCGCGCAGAACGATGCCGAACAGCTTGTGAAAGACAGGCCATGAGCTGGCGCGTTGGTATAGGGTCAGGTTAGGGTTTAGGATTTAGGGTTTAGGGTTTAGGGCTTAGGGTTTAGGGTTTATAGGGTTTATAGGGTTTATAGGGTTTACAGGGTTTATAGGGTTTATAGGGTTTATAGGGTTTATAGGGTTTATAGGGTTTATAGGGTTTATAGGGTTTATAGGGTTTAGGGTTTAGGTTTAGTGTTTAGGGTTTAGGGTTTAGGGTTTAGGGTTTAGGGTTTAGGGTTTAGGGTTTAGGGTTTAGGGTCTGGTTTAGGGCTTGCTTGGAAGCCAGTATGACTTTGTAAGCACGGTTGTTAAGGCGGGTTATGGGGATTACTGTTAGGGTTTAGAGGGGATACAAAGAGCTCTGGGGGTCTAAGCACCATCCACATTCTGGCATGCATTGGACCTGGACTCGCATCAGAATCAGAGGCAACCCTTAGACCTGCTACCCTTAAACCCTGAAGACCAAGTGGACCTTGAAAGGTTTATGGCTCACAATACCCTGGTAAGAAATTTGGGGTATAAGGGAGTCTGATCCAAATTTTAGGGTTCGTTTGGTCCCCAAAAGTATGGGTTTAGGGTTTAGGGTTTAGGGTATAGGGTTTAGGGTGTAGAGTTCAGGGTTCAGGGTTCAGGGTTCAGGTTCAGGGTTCAGGGTTCAGGGTTCAGGGTTCAGGATTAGGGTTCAGGGTTCAGGGTTCAGGGTTCAGGGTTCAGGGTTCAGGGTCAGGAACTTCAGGGACTTGGAGTCTAAATACATAGTCTGCATGGGTTGATGCAGAGTTTTGGATGTAGTGGTGAAACCCTAAACCCTGAACCCTAAACCCTAAACCCTAAACCCTGGAGCTGTTGCAGCCGTAAAGGCCCTACACCCCTCAAACCCGAAGCCCAAAAGCCCTCAGTGGACCCGACGGCCCTAAGCCCTACTATTCGCTTAAGAACCCCGTCCACTCTTCCCCCCCAAAAAAACACATGGAAAAGCATTCTTCCTTATGAGGGAAATAAAGGGATTAGTGTTTTTGTTTTTATTTGTTGGGGGGGGGGGGGGGGGTGTTATGCTTAAAACCTTAAACCCTAAAAACCTAAAGATCGGGAACCCTAAAACCTAGCACCCTTAAACCCTACATCCCTGCAACCCTGTAAAGCATCCCTCACTGCTCTGGAAGCTATGTGGGTGGTTGTCAAAAATCATGGTCCCTTTTTGGATCCCTGCCAGAATGCGGCACCTGAACCCATGTAGGGTACCCCAAAAGGGATCATCATTTTGACAGCCATCCATGTAGTTCTTGGCAGGCTCCGAATGAAAGCCGCACCTTGGCTTGTCTTGCCTGGGGCTAGAGTTTAGGGTTCAGGGTTCAGGGCTTAGGGTTTAGGGTTTAGGGTTTAGGATGTATGCAAGCCATGTGTGTAAAAACCACGAACTAAGCAAGCTTCCCATGAGCAAGTGTTAAGATTGTTAAGGGCATGTTATA